TGTGTGTGTGTGTGTTGGGGGGCTTTAATATGTATGTATGAATGAATGTATGTGTATGTAAGAAGGCATATAGATTGTATGTGTGGGTGATCAGGCACGCACACAACCAATACTATGGTTGTTTATTTTACATTTTATAGTTCGGCTGTTCTTCCGGAGGTTTGCTGGCCTTCATGTGAGCTTTGAAGATCATGAAAATAAGTGTTTGCACAACACTATTTCTCTCCTGGGAATGCATTGACTATACTGGGAATATTATCTTCTGAAATTTACATTAAAAGCTTGTTTCAAACAAGTTAAATCAATTCAAACGTAAAAAAAGAAAAAAGGTTACAAATAATAAGGGATTAAAAGCACCCACCGCTAGAGGCAAAAAAAGGCAAATTACAAAAGCATTGTTAAATGTCCAATCCTGAATCCTTTGGTTCTTATTTTTAACTTAATAAACCCACTAAAGAAACAATATTTTTCATTACCAACTACTGCCATGACTTGTGTGAAGGACTTCATCTGGTTAGGCTGCCTAACTGTACCAATAACATCATACTCATGTTCATACATTTGACTGTCTCCATGAAAACACCAATTAAAAGGATTTCATATTCGTTCATATCTCATCTACGGTGTCCGAACAGTCTCCCAAACCAAGCTGCCTTTTTTGAATGAGCTATAATAAAATCATTTTATTATAGATAAGAAAACAAAATGTACTTGTTTTATGCACAGGAACATGTTTCTGTTTTACACTAGCCCTAAATAAGTTATACCCTACACATATAAACACAAACAATGGTTCCAGTCCAACAAAATAAAAGATCAGCATTTTAAACACTATCACATTAATGAGTGTATTTGTTAAGTTAACAAAAGGTTTTACCTGTCAAATATTTATCTCAGTTTATTTATTTTCATATGTTAGCTGAGTGCTTTAAGGTTGGCACTAAGGGGGGGGGGGGGTTCTGTTTTCCTCATTAACATGTAGATCTATTCAATGTATTTTACAATTTGATTCAATCACATATTCTATAGGGGAAACATGTGATCTCAAAGTGAAACTTGCATGATGAGTTGTTTTTGAATTAGTATGTTCACAAGATTGACTACCACCAACAGACAGCACCATTAGAATACACTACACTGACCCAGATACTGCGTACCATGGTGACCGGGAAATGATCAACAGGGGGAAAAACCTTGTGTATTGTGGAAGTTTGTTCTTATGTTATTAAATTGTATCGATTGTGCAAATTGTTAAAATCTGTTGTTATATTGCCTGCGATGATCGAATATATATCCTGATAATGAAATTTAAAAAACGTTTCTCCAGTCAACACCTTCATTAGCACGAATTATGCTCATCATAACAGCAGCCCCAAAAATAAGTATGTATTTTAGTCTGTAATATTTGTAATTTGGCTTCAAGCCCTATTAACATAATCTGCAAACATCGTGGCTATGCAGGGGGATTTTAACACCAGGTGAAAATAGGGTCTATTTGACAGAAGCTGGCTGGATGGCTGACTAGCTGGTTGTCGTGGCATTTTGATTTTGGTGTCATAGGGGACTTTACAAGTCAAGCACCCAGGCGGCCTTCCTGCCTCTCGTAGTGATTCTTTGCACTTCAGCCTTGTGTTTTGTTAGATTGGGGCTGGCACCCTTACTCTTCTCCCTAACCCTCTTGTGTTTCTGACTGTATATGTGTCAAAATAACCAGGGGGCATCTGAGCTCCCCGACGTTCTTTCGCCTCCCACGTTAACGAGATCAATTAAGACTGCCATGTTAGATTAACACACACCAAGAAACAGCACAATTAACAGAGTAAACTCAATCAAACGAGGCGAGGTCACACTCTGGGGATCCCATTCACACACAGTTCAAGTAATGTGCAACCAATCAAAAGCAAAGCCTCTTCCCAGTGTCTAGACAAATCAAAACACACAGATTGATTTCAACTTTCATCATGTCAACTTTAAATCTACTAAATCTCTCTTTCCATAAACTCTGCTCCACTGTAATCCACACAAGGCCCTGTACTCATCACAGGAAGGAGTTTTTGTCTTCCGAAACATTTGGTTGGCACAAACAGCAGTGGAAAGTCAAGGTACCGGTCTGCCTGCCTTTCTGTCACGGGGACAAGAACTGGTGGCAGACGGACCACGATGTTGGCATCAGTGGGGCAGCAGCAGCTAAAAGTTAAATCCCCTAACTATTCATAGATGCATGTCAGAGACTAGTTCAGAGCTTTGGTCTGAGACAGCTGCAAATATACAACAGAAAAGACCCGTGTTTAGAGTGTGGCAGAGAGAATCACACAGGCTAAATACTGTGGACACACTTAAAAGCATAATATATATATATATATAT